ACCCATCCCCTGTCCCCCTCTAAAACCCTCAGTTTGATTCCCGGAGTCCATAGTCTCTCATGGTTCATCTCCCCCTGTGATTTCCCCCCTTCATTTTCCCCTTCCTTCTCCTAATGTCCGCCAGGCTATAGCTGATGCCAGAGCATTTATCTAAAGACACTCTCTTTGGAGTCTCTGGCCAGTGCTAGGATGACTTCCTGCCTGGAAACAAGACAGGGAAGTGCTGGAAGGGGTGCATGCCAAAAGAGCTGGGGCCTGAAAGCAGTAGGGCTCAGTTAGTGAAACCACCAGAGTCAGCTAGGGAGCTTTAGAGAACACATCAGTGCTGTCCTGCCTTAGACCAATTAAATTCTAAACCTCTGAGCAGGGTGGGAGAAGGAAGAGAGCAAGCAGTTATATTTTTTAAAGCTCCCCAAATGCTTATAATAGAGCCAGGGTTTAGCCAGGGTTGAGAACCCCACCATTCCAGGGCTTCCTTTAACTTGCTTCTGCCACTGGACAGGGCCTCCTCGTGAGAGGCTTCCGGAAAGAACAGGGGAAAGAAGAGGACATTGCCCAGGAACCTGCTCCTCATAGCACCCTCCTCAGGAGTTGGCGAGGGCTTTCCCTCTGCTCAGCACTTGGCAGAAACCAAGTGGGAAGAGAAAAGAAGATTATGGTTAGCATTGCCTGCCCTCACAGAGCTCTCAAAACAGCTGGGGAGTCCATATTAGCACATGAGAAACGGTGGCAGAACCGTGAGGCATTAGGCTGCAGCCAGGGTTAAAAGGACAGATTCTGAGAGTTCCACCGGGGCGGGGGTGGGGTGGGGGGCAGGAGGTCGACATGGAGGAGATGGAGCCTCCTAAAGATGTGTAAGAGAGGGGCACAAAGGCAGTTACGAGAACAGTGCACAGAATGAGCAGAGTCACAGAAAAGGCCTGGGGTGGCACAGTGACGAGACCACTCTAGGGTGCAGGATGTCCCTGGAGAGTAGCAGGAAATCCACTTCGATGATTTAAGTAGAGTGGGGCCAAATTATGGAGGGCTGATGTACTAGCCTGAGTAATGTAAGCATCATACGGTAGAGAGTACAAAGACACTGTGGAGTCTTGAGTAATGATAGTGTTTTCCAGTAATCTAACAGAGTATTCGAAGAAACCAGAGGTGGCAAGACTGAGTAATATAACAATCCCAATGTGAAAGACAAATAAAGGCCTATGTGGTCACTGTGGAAGCACAAAGAAAAAGAATAAATCCTAGAAATAGGTTTACATTCTAAATAAATAAACAAATAAAAATGGATCATGAACTTTAATGTAAAATATAAAACTAAAACTTTTTAGAAGAAAACAAAGGAGAGAATCTTCAGGGTCCAGGAGTAGGCAAAGAGTTCTTAGACTTGAATCAATGGAATTATAATGGTGACAGATGGTAGTTACATTATGGTGAGCAAAGCATAAGGTGTAAACTTGTGGAATCACTATGTTCACACCTGAAACTAGTTAACACTATGTGTCAACTATACTTCAATTAAAAAAAAAGTTCTTAGACTTGATACCACAAACATATTCCATAAAAGAAAGAAGTGATAAAATGAACTTTATCAAAATTAAAAACTTTTGCTCTGCAAAAGACCTGGTTCAGAGGATGAAAAGACAAGCTACAGACTGGGACAAGATACTTGCAAATTACATTTCTGACATGGGCTAGATGGCTAGAACTCTCAAACCTGACAGTAAAAACCAAATGATCCAATTAGAAAATAGGCAAAAGACATGAAAAGACATTTCACCCAAGAGGACACATAGGTAACAAATAAGTACATGAAACAATGTTCAACATCATTAGCCATTAGGGAAATGCAAATTAAAACCAATATGAGGGATCACTACACACCTATCAGAATGGCTAAAATAAAAAATAGTGATAACAACAAATGCTGGAGAGCATATGGAGAGACTGGATCACTCACACAATGCTGGTGTGCGTGATGTAAAATGTAAAATGTGTATGTAAAATGGAATGCCACTCTGGAGAACTGGTTCTGTTTCAATAAAACTAAGCATGCAACTACTACAAGACCTAGCAATTGCACTCCTGAGCATTTATCTCAGAGAAATGAAGACTTATGTTCACACAGAAACCTGTACATGAATGTTTATAGCAGCTTTATTTATAATAGCCCCAAATTGGAAACAACCGAGATGCCCTTCAATGGGTGAATGATTAAACAAACTGTGCTACATCCATACCCTGGAATACCATTCAGCAACAAAAAGGAACAAACCACTGATGTATGCAACAACCTGGATAAATCTCCAGAGAATTATACTGAGCAAAATAGTGCCAATCACAGAAAGTTCATACTATATGGTTCCCTTTATATAACATTACTTAAAATGAGGAAATTTTAGAAATGGAGAACACATTAGTGGTTGCCAGAGATGAGGGGGCAGGAGGGAAGTGGATGTGGCTCTAAAAGGGCAACTTCAAAGGGGTGCTTGTGGCAATAAGAATGTTCTATATCTTGCCCCCACTGACATCAATATCCTGGCTGAGATAATGTATTATAGTTGTGCAAGATAGTACTACTGGGGGAAACCCAGGTAAAGGTTATATAGCTCTCTTACAACAATCACAATTACCTCAAAATAAAAAGTTTATTAGGAAAAACAACTGTATACTCACATATGTGTCTGCAACTTACTTTATAAACTAATAAACATACTATAGGCATGTACATACAAAAAGAGAGTGAGATATAGGAAGTGTTGCAAAATGTTAATAATTGGTGGCTGTAAGTGTACTCGTCTTTCAAGTTTTCTGGAAGTCTGAGAGTTTTCAAAATAAAGCACTGAGGGGAAAAAAGAATAGTCTCTAATTTCTAGATCCTTTGATTTCCTCTTTCAGATGTTCCATAGCAAGATTACTCCTATTTGGCTGAGCTCTGCGTGTCCCTAAGTACCCACAGCCTGGAGAAAAAGACAACAAACTATGGTAGCCTTAGCCTCTGAGGACTGATCTAAAGGGGATTAAAAAACACTCTGACAACTGGAGACGGAGCATGTTATAGGGTAAAATATAATCACATATGTTTTATTGTGGAAAAAGCCAGCGTTATTATCACTCTGCTCAGCATATTTGGAAAGCATGCAGTTTCATGCCTGTCAATAAGAAAACTGGCTTTTTGCTTTTCTTTTTTAAAGCATGAATCCATTTAACTTCTCTCAAGTACAAGAACCCCTGAGTGACAGCGCTCCTCTGAGAACTCTCTTCAGCTGTTCCGGGGAAGGCAGCAGAGGTGTGTTATCTCCCTAAACAACAGCACTGATCTGGAGTCCTGCAGACCGGGGCTTGAGCCGCTGACTGCACAAACTGGCTAGATGGGCCTCAGTGAAAAATGGCAATCATAACAAGACTAGTGTGGGATTTCCTGTGAGGATTTCCCGGGCACACGGAATATAAAGGGCTTAAGCACACAGTAAGAGCGCAATACAGTTTGCTATTATAAGTAGTCTTTAAAATTATTTCATTAAGGCTCTTTGATAAAAAGGAATTTTTAAAATATAAATAAATAAATGAATAAAATCATTTCATTAAAGCCAAGCAGCCAAAAGTACATTTTACAAGAACTCCTCATAAAATTATTTTAAAGTTAACATTTACCTCCCATTGTTTTAGAATCATATGAAATAATGCATGTAAGAATTATAAAATTATAATTTTATAGCTTTATGGAAATTATACAAATATAGGAATTGTGCTTACAAACAGCATAATATAGTGGAATGAATACAATATTTAAAATCAGAAGACCCAGAGTTAAGTCCTGACTCTACCGCTTACTGGGCCATGTGCTTTCTGGATAGTACTCAAACTGCCTCAGATTTCTCATTTTCAAAAATGAAATAATATCCTCTATGTGATAGAACTGTAGAGATTAAAGTTTAAAATCTACACAAGAATACTACATAAAATTAAAGCACTTGTGACATTAACAAGTGTTCACATTTCCTGCATGAAATGTCACTCATTATAATTAAATCTGTCAAAGTGTGTAGAAAATTTCTAAATACAAATGATTAAGAAAAATTAGGGGCTTTTAAAAAACAGGGCCACTTGAAACTAAAATCTCTAATCTACCTTTACATAAAGTCAAATGCATATATTCAAAGTATTTCACTAGAGACTTCTACTGAGTTTTTTAGGTAGCCTTATGTTTGCAGGCCTGAATCTTTCTAACATTCTTTCTATGCAAGCCAGAGAAATGTGTCGCTTACAAAAGTTAGGTCAAAAGGTATTGCTTGCTGTACCATGTTTCAGCAAAGACATTCCTCAGTTTGAGTTACTGGCATGGTTACCCCTCCCGTCCCTACAAATCTGTGCTTCCTGTCTTCTCAGGAATGCCAGTACCCATCTCCCTATCAACAGCTGCAAAGCCTCCTGGCTTCAAGTCCTAGTAGTCTTCCTCCTCAGTGTCATTCCCTCACCCCCAATCCCTACTGCCATTCTCAGAGTTCACTCTCACTGCCCTCTGCCTTAAGTAAAAGAATCACCTCCCAACTAATTTCCTTTCTTCTAATTTCTCTGCTCTGGCAATCCATCCTATTCCTCACTACTAAATTAAATATCCTAAAATCCTGCTTTTGCTGTTCCCTGTTCAAAGACTTTCCCAAAAGTACAAAATCCTCACGCTGAAGTATAAGCAGAGCCCCGAGACTCAGTAATCAATCCCCAAAAAATCTAGAAATAGCCTTTACCGCCACAGGCAGATGACATACTACCACGGAAACCTGGCACAGAAGAGTGTTAACATTAAGTACACTGGGATCTAGGTCCATTCAAAATAGAGATGTAGATCATAAAGCTAACAGAGGCTCAAAAGAGAGGCAAAGAACTCAGACATTATTTTTATTTATTTAAGTGCACAATTAAGAGAATTAATACCTGAAACAAACAATAATAGGAAAGTGTTTCTCAAAAATTGGAGAGAACCTACCTGGTAAAGGCAGGCTGCTGTTCCAAGGAAAAACGCAACAATGTAATTAAAATCTTCACCATCACTCTGCAAAAAACAAAATTAAAAATTACTTTTTTCCTGGTGGAAGTCCATTTCCAAAAATAATCCATCGATACGGCAATGTTTATGCACAAATGGTCAAATTTTTATCAAAATGGCATATAAAAATTCTCAAGAGTCCTAAAAGTTCCAAGGAGTGTGAGGTACAGAGACTACCAGTCTTCCTCTATATTTTGGCCCATCAACTTCATCTTACCCATGTGTGAAAGGTGAAATGAAAATGAAATCACTTATGTCAAGGGGTTTTAAAATGGTGTCAGAGGCCATCTCCTCTAGATTTACGCACGTCCTCACCTGATGAAACCATGAACTTTGAACTGGGCCAAACTACAAATATTCCAAGGACTCTGCCCGAACCCCTGCAATTTGCTACAGTAAGAGAATTTGCTTAGGGACAGCCTTAGCAACCAATTATATTCAGCCAAGATTAGTTTTCTGATGCCAACACCAAACAAAATTCTTTGTAAACAATACATACAAACATTCCTTTCTGTCTTCTTTAAACTCTTGATTTTGTACCCTAAAGGGACACAATTTGGGTTGCTACCCAATCTGTGCTCCCCAAGTTGCAATTCTGAGACCCCAAATAAATGCTCTTGTTTTATTTCAGCTCTGCTCTTTTCTTAGTCAACCCAAGAAAAGATGTAAGCCAATGGGAAAGTTTCCACATAAAGTAAAAAACCTCTCTTTTCTACTGGAAAAACACCACCACCACCACCAACATACAAAAATGTACAACACCCCAGTGGCCTATAAAGTCAGTCTTGCTCACTAGGATCACCACGTGACTCAAATAAATATTGACAAACCTTACTATAAGGTAAGTACATCATTGAATCGTCCAATAAAGTAATTTGACATGATTAAAAAAAAAACAAACAAAAACTGAAAAGTTACTGTCCACTAGAGTGTGCTAAATCCCAATGAGAAGTCACACAGGCTGTGCAAGAAAAACAGCCACCCAGAAGAAAAAGAGATACATCATACGCAGAATGTTTCTTTTCAAAGAAAACTAATGGAAAACTAACAGAAAACCCAAGTTTTTCTATTCTCTTTTGATTCTTCTTAAATATCTACATTAAATTTCTTTCAGTGTTTTATGAGGTAAAACATAAAGCCCAGGCAGGAGCATTACATTTGGCCCTTATTTTAGAAAAAATATCTTTACACAATGAAAATTTTCACAAGACATGGGAGTGTCTCTCATGACCATATCTTCATGAAATAATATAGAGAAAATTCCTTTTCCACTTGCTATTGGGCAACAGAACTGACCATAAGGCAGAGGGAGAGTTGCTTATCTTAGTGAGATGATCTTAAAATAGGAACCATTAATCTGTCTGGGATGCTTAGGTCTGTTCTACCTCAGAGGCGCGGAAGGTCACGAAACCTTTCTAACTTAAATAAATCTAAGACTTTAAGTTCTGCTTTTTTCTTAATCCTTTATTTTTTAAATGATTTTTTTTCTGATTATAAAAGCGTATGTTCATTGTACAGAATCCGGAAAACAGACTGTTACAAAGAAGAAATTCATATAGTCTATAATACCATAACCCTGGGATTATTACTAACCATTTCATGTATTTCCTTCCGATCTTTCTATACAAAAATATATGTACATTAAAAAAATGGAATCATACTTTTATACACTGCTTTTTAGTACTACACATTATATCATAAACACTTTCTCAAGATACTGAATATTCCTCAACCACATGATTTGTAGCGATTATATAACCTTTCACTGTGGGGATATACCATTGATTTAATTACCCTATAATTGGATATTGTTTTTTTCCTTTATAATATCACTTTATAACTCTCCTAATTGCCTTTGGAACACTTAAGAGCATGCTCCTGGAGTCAGTCAGACCTGGGTTCAAGTCTTTACTTACTATCTGTATGGTCTTGGACTATTTAACTTCAATTTCCTTTTTTAAAAAATAAAAGTTGTAGAGATTAAATAACATTTGCAAACACACAGAACGCTAACTGCACACAATAAGTACTCATTCATTCACCAACTTCTCTCTCCCTGAGGTTACTGTCTGCATCATTTATCAGATAATTAGATTACCTTCTAGTATTGTTTAAACCTGTAGTATACTGGCCTTATCTTCTCAAGTAGACCCCAACCTTTTTTTTTTTTAATTGAGGTATAAGTGACGTATAACATTATATCAGTTTCAGGTGCACACCATAACAATTCTTTATTTGTATATATTGCAAAATGATCAGCACAATAAATCTAGTTACGCTCTGTCACCAAAGTTACAAAACTTTTTCTTGTGATGAGAACTTTTTAAGTTCTCTCTTAGCTATTATTTTCAATATACAACACAATATTATTGACTATAATCACCATGTTGATGTTACATCCCCATAACTTATTTATTTTATCACTGGAAATTTGTACCTCTTGATCCCCTTCACCCATTTTGCCCACCCCCCCAATCCCACCACCCTAACCTTTCTTCAAGGCAGAAAATCAATCTTAACTACTTGCACGAAACTGCACATAGTAGGAATTCAACAAATGCATGCCAAGTTGAGTTTAAAAAAATCTATTTCTACTTGCCAAAGATTGTCTATAAATATATTTTCCATTCAATAAATACTCATTAAACACTTAGGAGTCAGGTATTATATTACTAGACCTAGAATAGAAGACAACTAAATCCATATGAACTCAAGGAGCTTACTTTCTGATTAAGAAGACAGATATATTAACCAACAATTCCCATTCAAAGTGATAACTGATGGGACAGGTGTGTGTACAGGGTATAAAAGGAGACTACTGGAGACATATCTAATTCTGCCTGGAGAAAAAAAGAGTCAGAAAAGGTGTGCTCGAGGAAGTAAAGCTTAATCTGAGTCTTGAAGAATGAACTAGTGGAAAGATAGAGAAGGCAGGGAGAGAATTCCAGGCAAAGGGAGTAGCACATACAATCTCAAATAGGAAAGAGCCTAGGATGACCCCAAGTCTTCTTGTTAAGGAAACATTTGAATGATACCATTCACTAAGCTGGGAATACAGGAGGAAAAGTAGGTTTGAGAGCAGAAAAAAATGAGTTCATTTTGGACGTGCTATTTTGGAGGGGCCAGTGTGATATCCAAATAATTACATTTCATAGATTTAAGTCAGCTTCAGGAAAGAGTTGGATCTAGAGATCCTACTTTAGTCATCTATTTAAACAGTTGCTAAATGAAGGCCTAGGACAATCAAACGTGAGTCTTAATTCTTGACTGGCTCCTAGAATGGAGAGAGGAAAAAAAACTATAAAAGATATTTAGTCAATTGTAGAAATTTGAATATGAATTTTATATTAGATAATACTGCACTGATCTTAAAAATCTTTGGTGTAATAAAGGTATTGTGATTATGTAGGAGAATTCCTAGTCCTTAAGGCATACATACTGAATAATTTTGAAATAAACTGTCATGATACCTACAATTTTACTTTCACATGATTCAGGAAAGAAAGAAAGAAAGAAAAAGAACGGTAAGTAGGTATACAGGTGGGTGCTAATTATATTGTTTTTTAAATCTTTCTGTAAGTTTGAATTCTTCCAAAACAAAATGCAGTGGGAGGAAAGGGGAATACAATTTTTTTTTTAATGCTATGCAACCACTAAAATGAATGTAACAGATCTCCATACACTGATATAAAGTCATCTCCTACATATTGTCAGGTGGAAAAGATACAACTAAGTATGGAGTATACTGCCATTTATATAGAAACACTTTGAAAACAATTATATAAGTAAATATATAAATTCGTATGTACTAGCACATACACATTATCCCTCTAGGAGGATAACCCAGTGGTTGACTCTAGGGAAGAGAGATGGGAAAAGAATGACTTATTGTGACAACAGGCTTTGGAATTATAGGTTTTGAAACTGTAGGCATGTGCACACTTTACTGTGTGAGGATGTGTGGGTATGTGCACAGATTAACTTCTTTTAAAAAGGCCATCATGAGGGCGCCTGGGTGGCTCAGTCGTTAAGCGGCTACCTTCAGCTCAGGTCATGATCCCAGA